GGGCTGAACAGCCTGTCTTCTATTAGCTAATGGGCAGTTACAGAGAAGATGGAGCCATAGACTTCTTGGAGGTGCCAGCTGAAAGATGGGCGGCAACAGTCCCAAAATGTAGCAAAGGAAAGTCCAAATAGATGAAAAGAGAAGGATTTCCCCTCAAGGGTGGGCAGAGCTGGACCAGGCTGCCCAGAGAAGCTGTGGATTCCCCTTGCTTGGAGCTACTCAATGCAAGTGGACACAGCACCCAGCAACCTGGTCTGAGGGGGCCCTGCTTTGAGCAGGGGGTTGAAAAAGATGGTGTGTGTCCCCCTGACCTAAATCGTTCTCTGATTCTGTTTTCATACCCTAACTGAAGTAGAGGATTGTTTGGTAGCTTGTCATCAAGGACTCTCAGAGTTTACTAACAACCTCTCTTTCATAGGAACAGCCCTTTTCCTGATGTACACATGATTGAGAATTTGTATGAGGTCCTGAGGAAGGCCTTTCCTCCTGAAAGGTTTTGATGCAAAAGGCAAAGGCTAACCCATCTGTGTGTTAAAGATAGTTGAGGATGTAGTTCTTAGCCACTTCCTCAGTCATTACCACTTTGATCCTGCATTGCAGAACAGTCCTGCCTTTGGATCCACGTGCACACTCAGGGACAGTGAGCCTGTGCGTCTGGGATCAGAGGCTTCACAAGGCAAGGAGAGAAGCGAATGTGGAAAGGACAGCAGTTATTTGCTTAATGCAGAAGCACTGAGATCAGACTTCCATCAATCAGGAATAGTAGGCCTGGATTTTGGAAAGGTATGTAACATTTGGGGGGAAGTGGTAGGGGTTGGTGGTTTGGGGTTTTTTTGTTTGTTTTTTTAAATCTGGGGTGACATTCAAACATACTCATTTTTAGTAAAATGAACTCTGTTTTGGCTGCAGAAATTAGATATGGGATAATGGCTTTTCCATTTGCTTGGAGTTTTTTCTTTTCCCTCCTCATTTCTTTCTCATAAATATTTATATTTGTTTCTCCCTGTGTGGTGAATTGAATATGCAAAATGGGGAAGGTTGTAGTCCTTAGAGCAGACTTCCCATTCCCGCTGGTAATGGAAGTACCCTGTGGCATTTCTAATACGCAAAATGTTTCTGTTTACCAGTTCTCACATGCACGTGATTTGTTCTTTTAAACTACACCTTCTTGTTCCCAGTCTAGGGAGCAAATCAAGGAGAGCCTGTGGGATGACCATTTTGTAGAATATGGCAGAACTGTGTGCATGTTTCGCACAGAGAAGATTAGAAAACTTGTTGCTATGGGAATCCCTGAATCCTTAAGAGGCAAACTCTGGCTGCTCTTCTCAGGTGGGCAAGCTTAGAAATGTTGTCCGTTGGCATCGTCTGATTCTGAACATGGCAAAACCTTTAGGCAGGAAATCCAAGAGCAATTAAATGTGGTTGTACTGTGGTACTGCTTATAGGAGTGAGATGACCTGAACTGAACTAGTAAGTGCAAGGAAGTGCCTAGGTAGATCTGCAAAAACATCTCTCAAGATGACATGACATAATGTGCAGAAGAACTGAAATAACATCTTCTTCATCCACATAATTTAAAATTAACATCATGGTTGTGTAAAATCATCTTCAGGCAGTAATTAGATTGTAGCATAAATATTGATTTAACCCTAGGCTAATCAAATTATTGCAAAATAAGGGCATCTGAAAGCCAGCAGTCCTGCTCCTGCTTCTTGTTGAATGTTGAAATAGAAACTAGAGGTGGAAAAACCCACTCTCTTTCATACACAGATCTGGCAGAGCCAGAATGTGCCTACAATATGATCTCAAGTTTAGTCCTTAATCCAGTATATGACATATTCATACATTTGTAAAAGGTGGTGGTTTTCCTCCTTGGAGGGTGTGAACGGTGCTGAGTACATTTCTCCCAGTAATATTCTCTGCTGGGGAAGTTTCCTGCTCAGTGTCAGTATTAAGGTGTTTTGAATGATGTTGTGTCATGTAAGCTTTGCTAATATTGATCTTGTATTCTGTTAGGCTTTATTTCTTTCACTGGTCTGGAGATTTCACTAAATTCACAAACCCCGGGGAAAACCATCTGGCCTATATCCTTTTGAGCAGTAATTCCCACAACACCAAGTTTAGCATCGTCCTAATCCACTTTGTGTTTTCCTCTTTCTCTCTTCCTGCTGCCTTTAGATGCCGTGACAGACCTTGCCTCGCATCCTGGTTACTACGTACATTTGGTGGAGGCGTCCATGGGCAAGTGCTGTATGGCAACGGAGGAGATTGAGCGTGACCTCCACCGCTCGCTTCCTGAGCACCCGGCCTTCCAGAGCGAGACGGGGATAGCTGCCTTGAGGAGGGTGCTCACAGCGTACGCGCACAGGAACCCCAAAATAGGATACTGCCAGGTGAAAACCCCCCAGCGGGATAACGCTCATTGCTTCTTTAGCTCTTTCCTCTCTCCCAGTTTTATCGTACTCTTGAGAGTATTTTTAATGGTGGTTTTGATAAATAATGTCCTGTTTGCTACGAAAAGACATAATTTTAGCTGTTATATATAACTTACTCTGAAAAACAAGTGCATAGGCTTAACAAAAGGCTTTGGCTTAACTCAAGTATTCCCTTAGCATTTTGCAAACTGCATTTAGAGTTTAAGAAGGGGAAAAAAATTGTTTCTGATGCTTCTCTTTGTTCAAAAGTGTGTTTCTTGCACAATACTTAGAGACAGTGCAAAGTAAACTGATCTGCATAGATGAGATTCATGTAGAGCACTGGAGCAGAGGTTTTAGGAACTGAAGTTCTGCCTCTTTCTTCCCAAACTGATGACAAATTACAAAAGTACTTTGCCCAGCTGGACAGCTAAAATAATAACTTTACCTTCTGTTCAGCTCTCTGAATTCTGATTGACATCAGACTGGTCATGCAGGAAGGAGGGGAAAGCAGCCCTGAGAAATCTTACGCTATCAATCAGTTGCCTACTTTTTATTTGGGCAAATCCAGTCCTCTGCTTTTCTCCACTGTCTCCTATTGCTCTTATGAAAAGCAATGTACATAAGCTTGAAAAACTTGTTATGTCAGTGGGTTGCAATTATATGTTTGCTGTCTGTTACCTTTTTCTTGCTGTTTTGCTGTTCAGGTTTTTTTGGTGGCTCTTTTTTTTTCAGTTTACATCATGTAAGGCTACTTTTCTTTCTTTAAAAATAGCCACAATGTAGCTTTTGTCAGTAGGATTTGCTCTCACTAACAAATCCCCTGTTCTTGTTTGCCCTTGTAAGTCTATGAACATTTTGACCTCCGTGTTGCTGTTGTATGCCAAAGAGGAAGAAGCCTTTTGGCTGCTGGTTGCTGTGTGTGAGCGAATGCTGCCGGATTACTTCAATCACCGAGTGATAGGTGAGCTCATGTCTCTCTTCTTGCTAACTGGGAAGGGGCAGCTGAATGGCATGGAGGTGAGTGAAATAATCAGGGTCTCCTGAGATCCAGAACCCACAGGTGAGGTGGTCCATTGACTTGTGCAGTGTGGACAGCGGCGGTGGCTGCTCAGGTTCCAGCTAGGGTTGGTTTTGGTTTGAAGGGTTTGAACTGCAAGAACTATAAATAATGTGCTCCATTTTACAATTTGCCTTTGTTTTTTTCCTGTTGGTCAGAAGGCAGTGATGCTTTTGCCTGTCAGGTAAAAATAGAAGAGCTTGCATGTCTTGGTTAGGTGTGAGTGTTCAGTATTGGAGACTCAAGCTGTTTTAAGGTGAACCTAGGAAAGATCTGCTAGGGTAGGTATTTCTGATCTGACCTGAGTTGCCTGGCTGCTGGAGTAATACAGACTTGCATCTGAACTGGCCCTTTGCAATGAAAGCTGATAAAAAACCGTCTGAATGTGAGATGCTGCATATAGAACAAAGCCCAGTCCTTCTGCAGTCTGTGCCTTCTAGTGCATGTGCTATGTCTCCTGTTATTTGCAATGCAACTATTTTTAAGACTTGTGCAAAGTCTGGCTTCCTAATGCACAGAAAGAGAAGAGCTGAGCAGCTTGAGGCAGTCATTTCAGGTATGCATACAAGAAGGAGTTTGTTCTTTGTCATCATTTTACTTCCTTTTCTTACACAAATGTTTGATAGCTTATTCTCTTTTTAATGCTAACCTTGAGCTACTCTTAACTCTTTAGCTACTCTTTAGTGTCTGCTGTTACACCGTCGCTGGAGCAAAGGGAGGGAGCAGGGTCAGTTAGGAGGTGGCGACAGGAGGAAATCCCTGGCAGTAGTGGTTCTAGGAGCTAGAAATGCTGTAGGCGCTCGTGCTGCCTGGGGAGAGGGAGAAGACATCTGAGTTATCAAATCTTTTGCTTGGAGCATGGGATTGTTATACCTCCCTCCTGACACTATGATGCTGCAATTAATGTCTTGTCACTGAGCTGGCAGATAAGGAAAGTTAAAGCAGAGTTATTCCAAAGTTAGCTGGATGCGTAGGGGATTTTGTGGTGCTTTGAATGCCATTCGTATTTTCCAGTTATGGATTGGGCACTGTAACTATCCCTCTTGTCAGCATTTTGGTTCCTGTTTCCAAATGTGACTTTAAACTGCTATCTTGATGACTTACTTCCATGTTTGTCTGTCTGCTTCCTTGATTAAAAAAGAAACACAGCTTTATCTGTCCTTGTTCATTTCTAGATATCATCAGCCTGCCTTTAGTTACTGATAACTTTGGTGCTTGCTGGGTTATTGCCCTTAAGTAACATTCTCCACACCCAAACTTGAGTTATCCCATTTGGCTGGCCAAATTGCTGCCCTGAATTGTACTTAATTTTGGTTTTGTATCTTGCCTGTTACTTGCCATGGCTACAGCCTACACTGTTTTGAGTGCTGACAGTCTTTGTCATCCTGTCTGTTTTCTTGTCCTCTGTACCCAAAGGAAAGATTACTGTGACAGTGTGAAGAGCCAGGGGCTTCAGGTCAGAAGTTCCCCTGCTCCCCCCAGTCGATGAGCAGCAGTGTAGTTCTGCAGCATGGTTGCTTCACTAAGCAGTTATTTCTGCAGCTGTGATTTATCCTAGAGCTTGGTGTGCCCTAATCAGTGCTACTGATCTTCTTCCCTCTGCCCCTCCTCTGGTTCCTGTTGCTTGAGTTAGTGTTCTTGGCTTTGCATTTCAGTTGACTTTCTTTTTTGATTTGCAATCAGCTTTTGTCTAAATTTTGTGTTGTTTCTTCCTGCATAATACTTCCAAGACCCAACTTTTCCTCTTTGCACTGCCAACACTGTTGTCCAAGTTTTGATCTCTATAAATTGGGTGATGTCTGACCTTGCTGCCTGTCACTGTGCTTTTCCTCTTCAGTGTCAGCCAGTAATCTGTACAATCAAAACAGCTACTGAATTAATGACCTTGGTTATAACAGGCCTTCTTAGCTCTATCTTCTCTTGGGCCTTTTCTTTATGACATTCAAAATCTTCTATTTATTTTTAATAATTTTTGCTTTCAAAATGTAGGCAATTCAGTCCTACTCAGCCTTTTTATTACATGATCATCTTCTTCCTTCACCCTTGCCAGCTATGACCAATCTGTCTTTTCAGAAGTCTTTTCATCATTTCACTGCTTGTAAATGGGAAACGCCTGCAGGCAGGGCTGGCACCCATTATATTCTTATTCAGGAATTCCCTCTGTCCTCCTTTCTGCAATGCATAGAGAAAATTATAAACAGATAAAGATAGAAACAAGTTATACTTGGGTCAAGAGTGGTGGCAAAGGTCATGCATATCCTATTCTCATGTTACCATGGCTTTTCCATCCTCTACATAAACCAGCAGTCAATCTTACTCTACTTCGTCTGTTAGACTATCATCATCTTGATGTAATAATTCTTGAAACACTGAAAATCTAATTTAATTTCTCTGATTTGCCTTTTCAGTCTTGGAGATGTCATTTAGTTTGCATTTTGGGTCATCAGTTTTTAAATGGATACCCTGGTATTTTTCTACCTCATCATGGTTTCATGCTATAGTATGTTAGAAATTCAATTGCTCAGATTTCATGGTTTCTGGGAGCCTAATGAAAAGGTGGGCATAAAAGTAACTTTGCATACACCTGCTTGACTTTCATCTACAGTGTCAACACTTAATTATAGTAAGATCTATAAAAGATCTGGGCAGCATTGCACATTCCTTTTAAACCTCTGATTTTGCTAGTGCTGCCTAAGTCTGGTGTGATCTTTTTATATGTGTCTGCCTATTGTCTCTGGCTTCCTTCAAATACCCCTAAGCCAGCTCAATCTTTTGGATCAATATTAACTATGGCTATTAAATTATTTGTATTAAGCTTGTTAAAAAAACCCCAAACAAAACCTGCCCTCTGTTGAGTAACCTCAGTCTGTTTTCTCCTCTATTTTCTTTACCTTTTTATGACATGAGGAGGCTTTCTCTTCAAAGCAAAGCACCGTGCATGATGTGTTTCTCAAGAGCTCTTTGCATGTCCCTGGGCACTTATTTTTCATTTGTGGTGCTGTAATGTTTGTTCAGTCACCAGCAGAAGCTCTTTGTGGCTTGATGTGCAAAGTTCTAAGACAGAGGAATGTCATAGCTGGTTTTTTTTTATGATTTGGATGCAAAGCCGAAAGATGCTGGCTGTCTGCCATGAATTGTCTAGGTTATATTCTACTTTTGGACCCCAGAAGTTTTGAGTGATAAGGGAATATATGTCTCTGGAATTTCATAGTAATTAAAGTTGTCTTCTAGTATCAGCAGAATATGGACTATGAGAAAGAAATGAAGTAACTTGAAAGGAAAGAAAAATACTCGAAAAGCTAACTGCATTTTGTACTTGAGAATATTTTTAACTTGTAGTGTTTTCAGTTAAAGCCCCTGATGTGGCATATCTGGTTTGTAGACACAGGCCACTTCAGCAATATGAAACTATATTGATTCTACAATAGCTGCTGACAAAGCAGGACTGAGCTAGTAGCTAAAGCAGAGCAGAGATCTGCTCCTTTTGGAAACAGGAATGCTTGTGTCTGGGCATTGCAGAAATCCTTTGTTCTTTATATATAGATATATATGAGTATATGTTTATATCTGTGCGTGTATTTATGTGTAAATATTTTTCTTCCTGCTTGGTATGTGTAGCCATATCTGGATTTCCATCTTATATATTTTTCACTTAGAACAAAAGCTCCACTGCCTGCTTGCTTGAGTACATACCCTAGAGAGGAACGTCTTATTTTCATTGCGTAGATCCCAAGTTGAAAAGTAAAACACTTTAAGATTGCTTTTGCTAGCACTTTATTATTCTGTGCACTTTTAGCCAAAACCAACAGCTCTGCTATTACTATTTCATTGCACTGTAAAGGCACTTAGGAGAATCAACACAGTCTTTTTGCAGGAAGTTGTACAGTAAGGATTATGGACATGAGGGTTGGGGCTGAGATCACAGCAGGAGGAAAATGGGATTTTTCATTGTAGGTGTGTGCATATCTTGTCAGTTTAAGTTTTAAGAAGGTCTTGCATTGATAGTTGACAGCAATCATTGGCTTTAAAGAATTTTTTTCCTGTGTCAGTCCTGGCTAATACTGTTTCTGACTTGCAGGTGCTCAGGTAGACCAGTCGGTGTTTGAAGAGCTTATAAAAGAGCAACTTCCAGAGCTGGCTGAACATATGAAGGACCTGACAGCCTTAGCTTCCATCTCTCTTTCGTGGTTCCTTACCCTTTTCCTTAGCATCATGCCCCTGGAAAGTGCTGTGAATGTTGTGGACTGCTTTTTCTATGATGGGATCAAAGCTATTTTCCAGCTGGGCTTGGCCATATTGGAAGCCAACGCTGTGGATCTGTGTAACAGCAAGGATGATGGGCAGGCCCTGATGATCCTGAGCAGGTATGGCTGGGCAGGAGCACTCCTTCCATTATGGCCTATTCTGCCATAAACCAGGCTTTTGGGTGCCATTGACTCTGTAGGCACCAGCAAGGCCCTCCGTGTTGCCTTGCTGCTCTGCTGCTTTCAGTGTCTGCCTTAAACAATGAACTTCGAACATGGACGAGTAGATGTCCTGTGACATTTCCTGGCAGCGCCAAGACATGCACTGACTGCGTCAATGTGCAGTATTTACTGCTGCTCTTCATGCCTTCCCTAGAGTGACGTGCTTCCTGCTCCAGACTTCAAGGAGACAGAAGTTTTCTTCCTTGGGCTGCATTTAGTCATTTGGCTGGCTTGCCGTTCCTCAGATGAGTAATCATTAAGGCATTTTTGAAAACCCTAGCAGCCCTAAACCCAATTTATTTCTAAGTCTGAGGCGTAAGACTTGTTTGCTTATCTATACAGAGAAAAGCAAAGTGCAGAGTAATCTGTGTTGCTTCTGTTTTTTTCCCTTCAGGTTTTTAGAACATGTCAAAAATGAGGAAAGCCCTCTGCCACCTATTGGTAACCACCATGCATTCTTCAGTGACGACCAAGAACCCTCTCCAGTGACTGAAATAGCTAACCTGATTCATGACTCCTATGAGGTAAAATACTGCTCCATGTTGACTGGTCAGTTAAGTTTGAGTTTTAAAAAAGAAAAAGGTTAAATTCAACATGGATGTTTTGAAAGTTAATACACATTTTACAGATTGCTTGACTAAGTGCTCAAATGGACAAGGCTAAGTGTGGTATAAACACTTACACTGACATATCAGTTAAAGACTGAGTATGCTTTTTCCTCATAAAATACTTTAAATACCTTAAAAGTTTGATTTCCAGTAAATAAGGAACACGAATATCATAAAATACTATTAAACTAATAAACTTCTGTTCCTCCCATGTAGAAATTTGGAGACCACTCTGTGGCACAGATAGAGCATATGCGCTACAAACACCGAATCCGTGTCCTGCAGAGCCACGAAGACACAACCAAGCAAAATGTGGTGAGCAGGGTATTGTTTTAACTGAGGTAGCTTAACATCTCCTCTCTGGAGGCAGATGGCTTTCATTTTGTAAAAGGCACCACCAGATCTGGAAAAAGCTCTTTCCTGGTGATGCTGATGGGTTTGGTTTTACTTTTGTGGCCACATGCACTATTTTCTAGGGTGGCATTAACGTTATGAAGGCTTTAAACAGTAGGAACAATGGCAGAACCGTCCAGCCCCAGTACCTTGTCTCTGACCATGGCCGTAGGCAGATGCCCCGGGGGTGTCAGAAGAGAGCACGCCTCATGCGATGGTTCCCTGGCCTCCTGTGACCTGTAGCTTAGGGACTTCCTGTCTTTGTTTCTAACAGGCCTTGGGAGATTTCTTTTTTCATAGATCTATCCAACTTGTGAACCTAAAGAAGGGGGAAAAGTTGCAAAGATTTTTCAATACTGTGGTTTTCAGCTGTACGTAAAAACAGTCTCTGTGGGGCTCATGGGCCTGCCTGTGTCAGTGATGACGGGGGAGAAGAATTGTCATTAACATGATTTTCTTTATTTTTAAGCTCCGAGTTGTCATCCCAGATGTTTCAATTCTTCCTGAAGATTTAGAGGAATTGTATGACTTATTCAAGGTTGGTGTCCCTGAGAAGTAGGGGATGCACCTACTGGAGCAGTGCTGCCTTGGACCTCATGTCCTCTGCCACAGCAGTACTACTTGGGTGGGATCTTGGCATTTTGTCCTTTCTGTGGCTGCCTACTGTTAACGAGGAACAGCAATGTACTGATCCTTCAAAAGAGACTTGCTTTAGTTTTCTTTCTAACTTGTTGCTTGGAAATGGTCCATAAGAAATTAGGTTCTGGTAACTTTCACACGCAGAATAAATTAAATGTGTAGCTCTGCTCACTCTGCTCAGCAGTATGTTTACGTCCTGCTCTCTTAATGCTCCTTAAAGGTAGACTCTGTCTTCCATGGGGGAAAATATCCCTTCAAACTTGCGTCTTTGCTGATTCCAAATTTTCTAATGGCTTAATTTAAGGTTTTTTTAGAATTAAAAGCATTTTCTATTTCCATTCTTTTCTGTCAAGCTGATGTTTGAAATAATTATTATAAAAAAGTTATTTGGAGACAGGGACATCTAAGCTTATACAACTATACTTGATTTAGAGGTCCAAGCATGTAATTATCACCCTTTATGGACCATTTCTTTTGTGTATTTTTCATAGCCATAAATACTAGGTACTGAGAATATGACTGTGGTATGTTCTTAGTTACGCAGCTCTGTGGTTAAGAGCAGCAGTATCCTCCCTCTATTAGTGGTTGTAAGATGCTGCTGCTGGGGCTTGCTTTTCAGTGCTTCCCTCCTGCTCCTTGCTGCTCTGGTCTTAAGCATGGTCTGGCTTGCACTCCTCCCCTTTCCTCAGTTCAGTTCTTGGTGGTGGTTCCTTTTTCATTAGCTCCCTTGCTCCCCTAGGACAGCTCATTTTGTTAGGACTCGTCATTTTCCATCAGCCTGTCCCTAAGGGAAGACTAATAGGTACGGTATCCAAATGGAGAGGTCTGAGAGAGAATGAGTGAGCAGGTCAGACCTGTATAATACTTACTCTGAATTTGCTCCGACCCTCTGTACCTCTGGTTGCTTACAGACATCTTGGGCCAGATGTGGCTAACAGAGTTTCAGTAGTCTGCAGTGAATTTCTTCCAAGAATCTGCTGTGTCTCCCTTCAAATTTATTAAATATCCGTTGGAAATCGTAAGAGCACCTGGCTGCTTTAATTAAAGATTTGCTTTTTCTCACAGGAATGGTCTTAGCATCATTCTAACACCTCACACAAAGAGAATGTTGAGCATTTCCAGTGTACTGTGATGCAAATCAAAGCCTTTTTCTGCTGGTTGTACTCACTCTTGATACTGCACAAAATAACTCCACCTCTCCCACCTCTGATTTCTCCTAGAGGGAACATTTAATAAGGTGTTACTGGGAAACGACGAGCCCAGTCAGCGAGCGACACGACCCCAGCAGACCGTACGCCGAGCAGTACCGCATCGATGCCCAGCAGTTCGCCAACCTGTACAGGCTGGTCTCGCCCTGGACCTGTGGGGAGCACACCGATGTCCTCGCCCAAAGGACTTTCAGGCTCCTGGATGAGAACATGGACAGGCTGATTGAATTCAAGGGGCTTGCCAGCTGCTTAGGTATCCACTCCCCTCTGGGCTGGGAGGTAGGGACAGCAGGGGGTGGGCACATGGGTGAGACATGGATGTATAAAGTGCCATTCAGCTGGCAGGGGAGGATGCAGGCAGATGGTTTTCTTGTGCTTGTAATTAGCCTAGTCAGTGACCTTTACTAATTTTTTTGTGTTCCAATCACCTGAAGTTGATTAGATTTCAAAGACAGCCTAAGGACAGGATTGAATATTCATAGAATCACAGAATGGTTTGGGTTGGAAAGGACCTTAAGATCATCTAGTTCCAACCCCCCTGCCATGGGCAGGGATGCCTTCCACTAGGCCAGGTTGCCCAAGGCAGTGTATTAAAATCATTTGGGTCTGCATGGAATGCTAAGAAATCCTCTCTACAGCATTGTTGTTCTCAGTATACCTCTTCGTAACTGCTTCTTGAAGATTTAATCTTACACAACAGACTGCTCTTCGCCTTGTATGTTCAGAACAAGCTGAACAAAAAAATCTGGCCAGCAGAGATGGAGAGCTGTGCTAGGGTTGGTCTTGAGGCCAGCAGCTGCTCTAATGAGATGAGGCTGCCCATCCCAAAATCCAGCTGAAGAAGAAAGTGCCGCATCATAACTGTTGCCTGACCCCAAGTGAAAAAAAAATCTCTACCAACATTCAGAGCTTCAGTAAATATCAGCAAATCCGTATTTGCACCAGTTATGCTTTTTAGAGCTTTCTGATGTGAACCAAGGCACCCTGTATTACACTGTTATTTGATTTTGATTCTTAGAGGGATACAACTTTGAATGAAATAAAAAAAAAAAAAGTCCTTCACAGTATTCCAGTGCACTTGAAAGTTTAGAATCTGAACAGATGAATTCTATTACATGTGAAGTAGTTTTCTCCTTTGGGCTTGTGCTATAGAAGAGCAAGAAGGGATGAAGGGGAGAAATGTTAAGAATATGGTGGCCCCAAAGGGAATTTTCTGCCTCTCCCCTCTCACGTTGCTGTTAATCTGTGGCAGCAAACAGCCTTTGCTAGATTCCCTGCCATCCTTCTTGGTATTTTTAGCCAATGCTGAAGCTCCATAGGGTTAGGTACTCCCAGTCTATTTGACAAGAACAAAGACCAAACCAGATGGCTCTCACCTGCTGTTCCTCATTGACAAGCACAACTTAAAATATTCCAATGTAATATATTGGCCATATGTTTTAGTGTATTGTCCATACAAACAATTCTCTTTTGTACACACAGAGATGCCTGATTTATTTTAAATTGTGGAAGCAAATGCTCTGGTCCCACTTCCTTTTGTTCTTTTTTTTTTTTCCTTGCAGATGTTATGTATAATGGAGAAATGAATGAAAAGATAAAGTTACTATACAAGCTGCATATCCCACCGGGTAAGAATTCTAAAAGGGAAGGCATACCTCAGGTTCCAAAAAGAAATCTCTTGCTTAAAGCTTTTGGGAAAAGGCTGCTTAATGAAGAACCCCATCTTGTTTCCTTCAGCTGGGAGCATATAGGATGTGCATTCGTAATGTGCATTTTAAAAATTACTCCAGTCAAAACCTTTTTGGATTAGATTTATAGATATATAATGTCAAGGCTCACATCTGCTGCATTCAGAGATAATCTGCAGCCAATTATACCATTACTTCCAGGCAAAATGTGAACTGAAATAGTGTTTTTGGGTGGCTTTGTACTCCATGTACAGTAGAAATCTCTTTATCACATCTTGATCCAGCTTTGATGAGGTGACAAAATTCCGTGGTAGTTTCTCTGTGCAAAGTTTTTAATTAAATGTGCCATTCTTGGCAAACTTGAGACTCTCACTGCAGCACCAGTCTGTCTTGCAGTAACATCATTTTACAGTAGGATTTAATTAAGTGCTGTTTAAAAACATCCTGGCCCAATTATTTTGCTTTCTTCAAATATGCAAAGTTAAAAAGCACGAATAACCATTATGCAGCATTTGAGGGATGAATCATTACATTTGTCACTTTTTTTTTTGGATAGCTCTCACAGAGAACGAACGAGACAGTCAGTCACCATTGAAGAATCCTTTGCTGTCAACTTCAAGACCACTAGTCATTGGAAAATCAAATGGTATGTCCAAAATGGTTCCCAAATGCATGTCCATATAGGAGAATCAACTTTCCACTTGTTAACCCTGTATCATCTCTGCTCTCTTGAAATTTGAAATGTCTACTCCAGTGACTTGAAAACTAATTCTTTTTTGTGTCTGCTCCAAAAAAGGCGATGCAGTAGATTACCAGAAGCAGTTGAAGCAGATGCTGAAGGATCTCGCCAAAGAAAAAGATACTAAAACTGAAAAAGAATTGCCAAAAATGAGCCAGGTACGTGCCTTGGAGGCTGTAGTTTGTTTTTACAGAAATGGAGAGTACTCAAAAATGCAATGACTGAATACAGCAGTTCAGCTCCTCCTGAGAAAGCGTAACTTTGGCCTGAGCTTAGAGTCAGTCCTTTAGATGTAGAGGATCAGGCTCCTCTCATCCAGAGCGCAGGTGTTTAAGGACTCTTGAGCTACCTTTCTAGCAGCTCCCTCTGCTCAGACTGGCTGGTGAATAGAAAGAATTTCACTGACCCACAGCGTAACAGGCTGGAAAACAGGCTCATGCAGCCTGGAAAAAGCCCTCCTCCTAAACCCAAAGAATTCCTGAGAATGAATACTGCTGTTCTGTCTTCCCTGGCTCCCTCTCCACCTGACTGCTGTAACTGTTTTCTTAGTCCACTACCAACTGAGACTTGCCCTGTCTTAGCCATGCATACTTAGAACTGCATGAAGGAAGAAAAACAGCTTAAGGCTCTCATCATCTTACCATCTCCTCCCTAATGCTAGTAGAGCTCTGTGTATGCTGTTGGCCTAACAAAACCTGCAGGGAAAAGGGTCCTGAAATAGTAAAACAAATGTAGGGACATGCAAAGAAAGGTGGGGCTATACCCAGAACCCCTCTGTGCTGGTGTTGCTAAATAAAGTTTAAATGGATGGCATGTACCTAAGCTGTCAGCTCAGCAGGGACACATAAAGGGCATTGCTTGCTTCTACTTCCTGCAGTCCCTTTCACCCTGAATTACCCATCCTATGATTGTATGAATCTTGGGGACTGACAAATTTCCTAACAGGATATGGAAGCATCCTCTCTAGCCTGATAATCATCTGTGATGGGTGTGCAATGGAAGGAGAGGAAGGGGTTGGGCAGGGAAAATGTCTGAATTTTGTTAGTAGAAGAGTTGGGGAAAGATGGGAGAAACAGCAGAAGAGAAGCTGCTTGCAGGCCTGTGCATGGCTGCTTTGGTTGCAACTCATTCTTTGTAACAGCCACTGGTTTCCCACCAGTAATGGATTGTATTCCTTGCCTTGTATCTCACCTGCCCTTTGGACACCTGGGAGGCCCTGATGTCCTGCATCAAGGCATCAAAAAAAGCTTTTCTGCTGTTCCCTTTTTATTTGCAGCAACAAGGTTTCCTAGTATCTGTGGGTTGAAATCCCTTCACTAGCATTTCTTTAAAAGCAGGCAGGAGTTATAAATCAGCATATAAATGTACATGGCATTCTGCCTGCCTTTGGAGTACCGTGCCCTCGCCTGACTCCTATGCTTAGTTACCCACAACCTGGCTGTTCAGTAGTTTGTGTTGTCAATCCTTTACAGAGGGAGTTCATTCAGTTCTGCAAAACCTTGTACAGCATGTTTCACGAAGATCCAGAGGAGAACGATTTGTATCAAGCCATTGCCACTGTAACCACACTGTTACTTCAGATTGGAGAAGTAGGACAAAGAAGCATCAGCCTGGGGAGTGGATCAGACCAGTTCACTGAGGACTTGCAGCCCGAGGCCTCTGCTTTAGACCAGGATGCTGTTTTTACTGACACTGTGAAGACCCCTCACAAAGACTCTCAACCTTCCCCTGTGACTGAAGGGGACTGGACTGTCTCTTTTGAACACATTTTAGCATCTCTCCTGACTGAACAGTCATTAGTTAACTTCTTTGAAAAACCCTTAGAACTGAAGCCAAAACTTGAGAACGCAAAGTTAAATCAATATAATCTCAAAACAAATGGAATGAGCTGCCAGTCACGGGGGGAACATACAAAACTAAACACACAGTCATAGCAAACCCATCAAAACTGAAATGCACTGAAGTAATGCCAAAGCACATACTGTAAAAGGCTTTCAGTTACCAGTGGACTTTTGATAAACAATTTATTGGTCTGTGGTTTTCAGTTTAAGAGCTTTAAAAGCTAAAGGGTGTATAGGTTTGTTTTGTGCCAATGATTTGTTATAATTATGTTCTTGTTTCGAATGTCAAAGGAAACATCTGTCTACAGTGTGAAGACACTGAGCCCTCTTCCGCACTGGGAGAGGAGGAGCTGGCTCCTGTTGTCTTTTTTTTTCAAATGGGAAAACACTTCTCAGCTACTGTCTGCAGTTTGTTTGGGTTGCCTTTTTTGCACTAATACTGAAAACTGTTTCAATGCTGGTAATTGAAACTATTTTAATATATTTGATTGTATTCCAATTTGTACGTCTTGCTGAAATGTTAAGTGTACATGGACTGTGCTTCTGATGTTGGTCTGTGAAAACATGCACTTTTCAATAAACCCTTTTTGTACTAGACTTGTATTAACAGTATTTATTGATTTATGGAAGCAAGTGCCTTTGGTCTCTACTTCATTAAACCAATTCCCTGAGCTAGCGTGCTCACAATTAATTCACTGGTTGCAAGGCCACGTTTCAGTGCAGAGCACACACCTGCTCCAGAGAAGCTCACTGATTCTGTCTAGGAGACCAGAGCAGGACTAAATACACGAGTTTACTTTATCCACAAGAGATTACATGTATGAAGTATTAATCTAAATTTTGGGGGCTGGGGTTGTTGTTTGTTTGTTTGTTTTAAACAAACTTGTCCTTAACTTAAAATAGCTGTGTAGGAGCTCTTTAGTCCCACAGGAATGAAACACAACCACTAGGACTTTGCCACCCACATAGGAACACTGACATCTCTTCCTTAATTCCATATCTAACAGAAGTCTACAGTACCTTTAATTAAGAAAATTACATCATTATAGACAAGCCCAAAGAACCCAAGAAGATACTTTAAGATATTGTCACCTGCTCAACTCAATGTTTCATGGATGACAGCTTGAAGAGACTGGGCAATAAAAGAACCAATTTAGGAATAAACTTTCTTTTTATCCTTTTATTGTAATGAAAATCAGTTTAATTTTCATCCACATTGACTGTCTGTAGACCTGCAAAACAAGAAACTGTGTCACCACCTACTGCTAGGACAATTCCCTTTATGTACGCACACCTCCACAAGAAAGCGCAGATACAGTTTCAAAGCCAGTCTGCTGATCCCCTTCTGAAAAAACATGCTACATAGGCAAGTACTTCACCAAAAGCTTCATGTTAAAATAATTCTGCAAATAAGAGACTTCTCAGATGACAAGCAGAAAAGGCTCAACCTGCCTGAGCTTTTGACATCAGAGGATGGACTTTATATGGGAGAATAAACTTTAAAACTACCCTAACAACTAGGGCTAGTGGGTTTTATTCTCTCAAAATTTACATGGCTAGTTCACTAAATCCTGTATTTATTTTTTAATGCTGATGAGGCAAGCTAGCAGCCCTGTTCTCTACAGCAGAGCTAGTTTAAGCCAGCAGTTTGGTCCCTTCAGCATGCTTTTCATCTGAATTTTGCACTTCAAGAGGAGCTGTCCCACTTTGCTACTTGCTCAGAAAACATAGCACAGAGAAAAAGAGATGGCATGCAACCTCACCTTTGAATGTTGTGACTGGTACATAGGTAACCAGTGTGTATAGCTTGTTTGGTGAATCTTCATCCTCATTGCGTTTTCTGGACAAACGCACACGGATACGGTAAGGAACATTCCTAAAATAAAGAAAACAGATTAATTTTCAGTAAAATATGTACAAAAACCTCATAATCCATAGAAAAGCTTTTTGCTCCATGATTACTCTCCCCCCACCCTTCAAATTCTTAAGTTTTGCCTATTTGTGCAAAGACATGATGAGTTAATTCTGTTTCTATCTCAGCATCATAACAAGAGAAAAATCCTTTACCTTAGAGGTTGTAATGTCTGCCTTAAAGGAACTTTTTGGTTTCGTTTTTTAGTTTTGTTAAAGTGAGCAGCTAAGATTTAACTGAGGCTTGAATAAGATGAATACATAATCCAGCGGTAGCATAAAGTCAGAAGTGGATCTCCTGTCCACTACTGATCCAGGAAATATACTATGAAGATGATCATGAAACACAGTGTGGATCATCAGCAAACAGCTGTTAGTAACATTTCTTACTAGAACAGAATATATCAAGGAAAAAACCCAATTTTGATTTACTCCCTTCACGAAACAAGTCAAAAGCATTTTTCACTACTTTACTTAGATCACTGACTATCACAGTAGCTGGCCTCCTGATTTTAGCCTCTCCTGATCCTTCCAGAGGAAGGCATTTTACTTTGCATACATTATTTATTCTAACCACTGGAAAGACAAGTGTGAGGACCCCTTCCTTCACAGAATGCATTTCTATCAGCTAATGTAAGGAAGTCTTGGTTAACAGCCTCACTACTAAGCTCTGAAGATACACTGTCACCTGGTTCAATTGCTGCTTCTTCACTGCCTATGAACTGGAACACCTCAGTAGAAAGGACAAAGAATCCCTGCCCATAAGGCCCAGTAACTTAGTCCGACCTTCCCACTCTGTTTTTGAAGGAAGGGTTGGCCTAAGCACACAACTCCAGGCAAAGGACTGTAAATATGTCAGAGGACAAACTTGGGGAATCTAATTACTAGGAAACATGGTTTAAAACAAGGGTTCACATGTATCTAGCGTACCACTCACAGTATTAATCCCTATCAGTTAATCTTTTGCTATGGTTTAAGACATCCTACTCCTCACAAGGAGTCCTTCTGGACCATCTTCACACATGTCAATGCCAGACCAGCTGCCTCTGTAGCAGTAATTTAACAGACACTGTAATTTCTGCCCCCTAAACTCCTTAGCATTTGTACTCCCACAAGAAGATTAATGGCCCTATTTAAAACAAGCCTCACTGTTTCATTTTGTAATATTTCAGTATCAATTCAGCATGCTTTGAAACCTAAGCCTGTTTAGACACACGACACAAATCCCAGGTTCTTATCCTGGGACTGCAGGTATGACTAAAAAGTCATGTTTCTAAAAACTGTCTGCTGCAATAGGGATTGGGGAACTACTAAAATCATTTCCTTCCCCCTGCCTTCTCCCCCAAGCCCATGTTCCTTCTTTCCTTTGCTTTATTCTTACTAGAGGTAGGAGGAAGTTCTTTCAATTCCAGAGTTTACCAAAGCTTTGCTACAAATATGCTAAGGGAGCTGGCCAGAAACAGAGAGGTCACAGAAACTTTAGCCTGGCATGCATGCTGTAAGAAAGCAAGCATTTGCAAAGAATATGCGAATACTGGAAGTCATATACAATTTTTTTTCCAAGTCCTGTACATACACATACACAGTTACAGGTTCTTCCTCACCCAATAAGGAAAGTTTCAGAAACCTACCTTATTCCTTTAGCCCAGACTGCTTTGTTCAACCTGGTGTCAATGCGAACATCAGGAGTACCCATTTCCTTCATCGCAAATTTGCGGATCTCCTTGAGGGCACGTGGTGCTCGTTTCTTGAAGCCCCTGAGACAAATACAAGAGCCATTTCTTTAACTTTAGGAAAAGCTGCATCATAATATGACTATACCTTTACTCTGGTAGGTAGCTGTTAACCTTAATGTCTATGCCTAACAGAAACCACACACAGAATCATAGAATGGTTTGAATGTGAAGGGACCCTAAAGCTCATCTAGTTCCAAACCCCCTGCCATGGGCAGGGACACCTTCCACTAGACCAGGTTGCTCAAAGGCCCATCCAGCCTGACCTTGAACACTGTATGCAGAATAATTTCAGAAGAATTTTGCAACTGCAAGATCTCCCAGATGTTTTATTCAAACATGCTAACACGAAAACTTATCGCAATCCTATTTTAGAGACCAGAGCTTTCACAAATACTCTGAATAACAAGCTGATGAGAAAAGCAGAACAACAATAGTAACATAAACTGGACAGAACTGTTTCTGTATTGAAATAAATGGTAAAACAAAAATAATGCTATTCTGAATAATACCTTCTGCTGAACAGTATTTGATTATAGAATGAGAGAATGGTTAGGGTTGGAAAAGATCTATATAGATCCAACCACCCTGCCATGGGCAGGGACGCCTCACACCAGACCATGTCACCCCACGCTCTGTCCAGCCTGGCCTTGAACACTGCCAGGGATGGAGCATTTACCACTTCTTCGGGCAACCCATTCCAGTGCCTCACCACCCTCACTGTAAAGAACTCCTTCCTTATGTCTAACCTGAACTTCCCCTGTTGATGTTTAAAGCCCTTCCCCCTTGTCCTACCACTACAGTCCCTGTTGAAGAGTCATTCCCCAGCATCCTTGCAGGCCCCCTTCAGATCCTGGAAGGCTGCTGATAGTTACTTTCTTCACATCAGCAGGACTGCACCAATGCCACCATGAGAACAGCTTTGGGTTTTTTACAGGTATAGCTCGTCTCATGCTTGTTATAGAGAGATTCTGCACAACTGGACATTTATACTAAAAGTTACAGCTGCACTACGAGTGTTGTGCCATATGTATCATATGTGTCTGAGGTCCCACAGTGGGTTCTATTTAGTATTATTTGCACACTGCTGTTGATATTTAGTGCTGGAAATCGCAAGCGTGTGAGTGATTACAACTGAGACAAGCATTAAACAACAAGTATTGCACCCCCAAGTACTTCATGCCTAAGAAGACGATAACCCCAAAAGAAAAGCAGATAGCAGCATTATCAGTATTAAAAACAGGCTGAATTGCCATAAGCAATCAACAGGCAAGGCCAGAAAATCTTACTGCCATTTAAAAGTGCCACTGCCTCCCAACCTCATCCATGGGTTTGCAATACTGTCTTATTTCTCTCTTGTTCTAAGCCAACTTCAACATTTTCACCAATTGATTTGATTTGGATGTAATTTTCTTCTACATGACTGCAGCCATAACATACAACGAGAGTCAAAGGGAGATGCAGCTTTTCAACAAGTACCACTACATGGTTGTATGAGGTTCAACATTTTGCCAGGTAAAAAGTTACTCATCTCTGCACACAACAAGTATTGTTTAAAGCAAGTCATACGCCAATTTACACCTCACACAATTTAAGTTTTAAGCACA